GGGGCTGGCAGCGGTGCCCGGTCTCCCGGCCCTGGGCTCTGCTGGCCGTGGAGGCTGGGTCCTGCCGGTCTACCCCCGAGGAAGGGAGGCTTCCCGGTCGACCCGCCGTCGGGGAGGGGCAGGCGACGTTGCCCGGTCTCCCGGCCCTCGGCTCCCCTCCGGTCTACCGGCCGAGAAGGCTGGGGCTTGCCGGTCTTCCTCCGAGATGGTGGGGCTTCCCGGTCAACCCACCGGGAAGCGCGGCTTCGCCGGACTACCTGGCGCACGGCGCGGAACCGCTGGCCGGTCTACTGGGCGCCGGCCCTCGGGAAGCCCGGTCTCCCGGCCCTCGGCTCCCCTCCGGTCTACCGGCCGGGAAGGCTGGGTCTTGCCGGTCTTCCTCCGAGATCGTGGGCCTTCCCGGTCTACCTGCCGGAAAGGGCGCCTCTGCCAGGCTTCCTGGCGTCCGGCGCGGCACCGCTGGCCGGTCTACTCGGTGTCAGGCCCGGTGGGCTCCTCGCGTCCACGCACACCACACCACACCACGCCCTGCCTGCCTGCCTGCCTGCCTGCCTGCCTGCCTGCCTGCCGCCTGACCAGCGCTCCTAAACAAAGGAACAGGCTCTTGCCCGGTCTACCTGGAAGGCAGGGAGCGGACGGCCACCCTCCCCGCCAGCCTGCCTGCCTGCCTGCCTGCTTGCTCGCCGCACGGTCTGGGGCTTCCAGGTCCACCTAAGAGGAGGAAACGGCTTCCCGGTCTACCCTCCATGGGGCCGGGAGGCGCCGGTCCACTAGGCGGGGGGCGCGCGTGCCTGGAGCCGCTGCCCGGTCTACCTGCCTTCGAAGGGGGGGGGCTCTGGCCGGTCTTGCGAGAACGGTAGACTTTCCGGTCTACCTGCCGGAAAGCGCGGCTCTGCCGGGCTACCTGGCGTACGGCGCGGAACCGCTGGGCGGTCTGCTGGGCGCCGGACCTCGGTGAGTACGGTCTCCCGGCCGGAGGGGCTGGCGGCGTTGCCCGGTCTCCCGCCCCTCGGCTCCCTCCGGTCTACCGGCCAGGAAGGCTGGGGTTTGCCCATCTTCCTCCGAGATCGTCGTGGCTTCCCGGTCTACCCACCGGAAAGCGAGGCTCTGCCTGCCTGCCTGCCTGCCTGCCTGCCTGCCTGCCTGCCTGCCTGCTTGCTCGCCGCAGTGCCTGTGGCTTCCAGGTCTACCTCCGAGGAGAAAGGTCTTCCTGGTCTACCCTCCTTGGGCCCGGCAAACGCCGGTCCACACGGCGGTGGGCCTGGAGCGGCTGCCCGGTCTTGTTGTCGGCGGAGGTGGGCGGGCTGGGTGGTCCCGGTCTTCCTCCGAGATCGTGGGGCTTCCCGGTCTACCGACCGGAGAGCGCGGCTCTGCCGGGCTACCTGGCGCACGGCGCGCGACCGCCGGCCGGTCTACCGGGCGCCGGACCTCGGGAAGCCCGGTCTCCCGGCCCTCGGCTCCCCCCGGTCTACCGGCTGGGAAGGCTGGGGTTTGCCGGTCTTCCTCCGAGATCGTGGGGCTTCCCGGTCTACCCACCGGAAAGCGCGGCTCTGCCGGACTACCTGGCGCACGGCGCGCGACAGCTGGCCGGTCTACTGGGCGCCGGACCTCGGTGAGCCCCGTCTCCCGGCCCTCGGCTCCCCTCCGGTCTACCGGCCGGGAAGGCTGGGGTTTGCCGGTCTTCCTCCGAGATCGTGGGGGCTTCCCGGTCTACCCACCGGAAAGCGCGGCTCTGCCGGGCTACCTGGCGCACGGCGCGCGACCGCTGGCCGGTCTACTGGGCGCCGGACCTCGGTGAGCCCCGTCTCCCGGCGCTCGGCTCCCCTCCGGTCTACCGTCCCGGGAGGCTGGGTCCTGCCGGTCTACCCCCGAGGAAGGGAGGCTTCCCGGTCGACCCGCCGGAGGGGCGGGGCAGGCGACGTTGCCCGGTCTCCCGGCCCTCGGCTCCCTCCGGTCTACCGTCCCGGGAGGCTGGGGCGTGCCGGTCTACCTCCGGGATGGGGGGGGTGTTTTTTCCCGTTTTGGACCAGTCTGCTCGCCGGGCTCCCGGTCTACCTGCCGGAGAGCCTGCGGCTTGCCGGTCTACTACGCAGGACGGAGGGCTTCCCGGTCTACCTGCCCGTGCCCCCTATGGAGCCTCCAGGTCTACCCGGTCGCTGGAACCCGACGACATCGCCAAGGGTGGGTGGGGTTCGTGGCGACAGCTGCCGTAGAACTCGGCGACTTTGTAGACCGCCGCTTGGCGGCAGCGCAGCAGGTAGGCGATGGAGGGGACGGGTGAGGGCGTGCGGGCGTTCGTCCTTGCAGGGACGGCAAGGGAGAAAAGTCTTGGCGTGCGTGCGTGCGTCCCTTTGCGGGAGGGGGAGCATGCGGAGACACAGGGATACAGAAAGACAAGCACAAAAGCGCTCGTGCGCTCTCACACACACTTGATTGCGGGAGGGAGGGAGGGGGGGAGGGAAAGCAGAGGCAGGCAGGCAGAAACAAAATCTCTCATCTC